CTGATCATGCATACACTGAAGTTGACTGAAGCTTTTTCTTTATTTAAACATATGAAAGTCAGAAGGAATGCATGCACAGTCAGAATGAAATGTGAACATAAGTGACTTGTAGTGTAAGCATGGAGTTGTTTTTGTCAACAATTAAACAATAAATCAGGTTACCAACCACGGGGCCTGGTAGTCCTTTGGATACCCGGGTCCCTTATATGGATCATTGCTGATGCAATCAAACACTATCAATTATTTTGTAGACCCGTGAAGATTCCGGGGTAGAATAGGTCTTCAGCAACCCATACTTGTCGTAAAAGGCGACTACGCTTGTCGTAAAAGGCAACTAACGGGATCGGGGGGTCAGGCTCGCTGACTTGGTTGAGGCATGTCATCGATCCCAATTACATGGATCGATGCTCATGATATCAATCACTGGATTATTTTACAGACCGCTGTCATATAGGTTGAATATTGCTGAGTGCGGTGTTAAACAACAAACAAACAAACAAACAAACAATTATGTTGTAGATCACGTTGACATAGCTACAATTTTGCTGACAGTGTCGTAAGACAACATTCCATCACTCACATTTTGTAACAGTTTAAATGGTTGCGATGCTGTAACAGTAAATTCTATAATCAGTGTACAGCAGTGTGCAGCGGCTTGAAATCAAACTCACTCACTCACTCCATGGGGTTTCATGGGTTAATATTTCATCATTCCGGTCTAAGGAAACAGAAAGATATTTGAATGGGTTCAATCTTCAAATAAAATATCAAAACATGAGTATTTGTGACAACCACATCAGCCACCCCGAGTACTCAAGACATAACATACAATAATGGAGTGTGGTTATTGGTAAAATGTCAGAGTGAAGATAAGCTCTTTCATGGAATGTCGTTCTTTAACAAGTAAATGATAAATATGTTTTTTTTCTCTGCATTTCAGTTGGACTTTTTTAACGAATACATAAAACTGTGCCTTGCCAGTTGATCAATTGAGGTCCACATTTCTGTTTCCCTTATGCCATTAAAGCAGGAAGAACCTGACCCTTTGAGCATATTAAACCACATTAACCAAACATGATCTAAAAAAATATTGTTAATTTTCCATTTGTAATGCAGATCAGAAAGCCATACTGTTGCCTACCAACAATGTTGCGAATTACGTTTCCTGTAACCAATGAAACAACAGTAATTTGGGCCATTTGGTGCCATCGTAAGTGCAAATCAATGACATTCTAGCCGCTCTAAGTCCTAAGTATTCCGGGAGCCTATGAGCCAGGTTGTAAAAGAACCATAAATTGTACAAATTAATTTGATAAAAAACGCAAACGACTTACTGAGCGTATTGAGGATGTGTATTTCGGGGCACAGGATATATTGATAGAGATAGCCCACTTGCTTCACCTTCAGCTGTCCATTGTCTTCATGGATGGGGCACTAATATTTATGTTTTGAATTAACATAGAAATTCAAGGGATTTATAGGGCAGTAAGAGATAGAGTTGGTCCAGTCGGGATCTACTGGTGTCTCTCAGTCTCCAATGGTGAAATGTGAAGATGGGGGGTGGGTGGGATTTACCGGCTTTGGGTTAGAAGTATAAATATAGGACTTGGTCATTTCTCTGTTGTATTTCTCAAAGGCTTGTAGTAAAGTTGACTTACAAAATATTTTGTAATTAGTCAAGTCTGTCTCTTAAGTGGAGAAAGCTTAATTTAAGAAATAAAACAGGTTCCTTATATGAAACACATGCCACATTCAATCACTTAATTCAGGTGCATGTAATTTGAAAAAAAAGGCAAATGTTTTTGTTCACTCTGGTCTTAACCTCTTTATGTTTGAAAATATCAGGATATTTATTTTACTTATATTTTTTTATAATGATGTGTATCAGGAATAAATTCAAAATATTGGTTCATTTGCCACTTGTTTAAGGAAAACTCAACTGTTTGAAACCACCCACCCTGTTAACATGAGGGAGGTTTAAGAAGTGTGCTAGAAATTCAGCAGGGTAAAGGTTAATTGGCCTAACGTTTGAAATTAGTTTCAACTATTATTTACCTGTTGGTATGATGAGGCATAATAGCTGCCTGGACATGTTTGTTATGAAAGTTGACTGAAAAGTGAAGGTGGCATTAATGGCTGCTGACTGATTTGAATAATACCTGGCAGATGACCTGATCAGGGAGGGCAAATGAACAGCTGCAACCTGATTGGGTCTCAGCATACCATCTTTTAGTTGTAACGATAAGAACTGAACTGTCTTGCAATACATGGACCCAAACTGATTGGGTCTCGCAATACATGGACCCAAACTTATTGGGTCTCGCAATACATAGACCCAACTTGATTGTATCTTGCAATACATGGACCCTACCTGATTGAGTCTCAAAATACATGGACCCAACCTGATTGGGTCTCGCAATACATGGACCCAACCTGATTGGGTCTCGAAATACATGGACCCAACCTGATTGGGTCTCGCAATACATGGACCCTACCCGATTGAGTCTCGAAATACATGGACCCAACCTGATTGGGTCTCGCAATACATGGACCCAAATTGATTGGGTCTCAGCATACCATCTTTTGATTGTAACGATAAGAACTGAAATGTTCCACAATACATGGACCCAACCTGGTTGGGTCTCAGCATACTATATTGTAATTGTAAGGATAAGAACTGAACTGTCTCGCGATACATGGACCAACTTGGTGGGTCGTTGCCTGCACTGTCACCCACTGGTTTGCATGGACCAGGTTCAAAGACAGAATGATATAGCTGGGTCTCTGAGGACTGAGCCATATCACTCTGACATGGATAGATAGTTTAGAGATTTCCAAGTTCATTTCAGATTCTACATTGCTGCATGTACTAAGATGGGACAAGTTTCCATGACTTTAACTGGCTTAAGCCTTGATTGGTATTCCCAGAAAGACTTCAGAAAGTTCGATATCAGCCCCCTTCTAAATCGGTTGACTGAGAATGTTATTACAGGCCAGAACATGGACTGGTGAAATGTTGATGCAGTTGTGTGCTGTGCGAGTATGTCAGAATTAATGAATGACCGAACCTAGAACCTCAATATTGACAATGAGTGGTGGCATGTGACATTGTCCCGAACTCCCCTGTGACTAGCCCTCCTTCCGTCAGGTATCAGGACAGGTGAGAATGCTTTCTCCAGGGAGCATGCTCGGTAAACTCCTGCGTGTGGCCCAGTCAAATAGCCGCAGGGTTGCTAGGATATCAAGCCAGACCAGTTTGTTATTGAAATACTCCATCTTATGATGCCTCTATGTTTTGATTGGTTTAATTCTGTGGCTTTTGGAAATGTTTTCGTGTTGTGGTGCAGGTTAAGTTTTGCACATTATGTTGGGAAAATACATCAATCAAAAGTGATAATGTTCATTTCAAATGCACTTTCAATAACTGGATTCCTTTTGAAGCAGCAGTATTCAAAGGGCACCTGATGCCAATTCTGTAAATTGACCGGCATATTGAATATTTGTACATAGACTTTGTGTTATGTCACGAGTCTTATCCCATTATACAATGTTGTCGTAATTAATCCTCACCAGGCCAGTATTGTAAAATGTTTGAAGATGTACAGAAAAAAACCCAAGTAATTGTGAACTTAATAGTTGATCATGATGATCAACTATTAAGTTCACAATTACTTGGGTTTTTGACATGTGATCTTAAGAATGGCCACGTTCTCTCTTTCTCCACAAAATCTTTATACTGAATATCATACCTTGCCAAACAATGGCTTTTCAAAATGTTGGGCCAATGGGGACAATCAAACTGAAAAAAACCAACATCTCAATATTCATATAACTTTAGCAGAAGTGGCTTGGCACTATCTGATAACCTTGATAACGTTTCACAAAGCAGTCATATTGTTACGACTGTCATAAGTCCATGTTGAACTATGGGACCCATGACATTTGTAACACTAGAAGCATTTTCAGATGATTTTTAAATATATACAAAAACTACACTTTTGTTAGAAAGAAAGACTTGTAATATGCTGAAACTGACTTTACAATCTACCATGCTGATACTGAGATGAGAAGGTAACTATGCAGCAGGTCTCTGTAAAGAACTACGGTGTCACTACTTCAAAATATCAGATCCACATTTATTGGAATGCTGCTCTTCCATTTACAACTGAAAGTGGCCCATGGTCATTATATAATTGCATGACTGTGAACAAATTTGAATATCCCGTTTGTTGAAATGTATTTGGTTTTCCTTTCAAAACCATCTAAAGTTGTCGTGTTCTCTAGAGGCCAGTATCTGTTGGCAGTCATTGGTTGACACCTTGGACTGTCAGCACCTTCATGTGGGTGTCACCAAAGCATTATATGGGTTTGTCCAGATCTTCACAGGAAAATACTGTTAAACCAAAATTCTCTCACTCAGCAGACTTAGAAAATCATATTTTTAAAGACTAGTCGAAAGGACTTATTCACTTAGAATCCTTATTCACCAATCCTAGTTTGTAGCTAGTACTGCTTGAAAGAGACATAACTGATTACTGTCAGTTTTATTCAGCATTGAGAACTAGTTCAGAATTAAAGCCGTCAAATGCTACAAGTCACTGAGTACTACCGTCATTGGACTTTTACTTACTTTAGTAGTCCTGGGCTAGCTGACTAGCATGTACTTTAAAGGCTGCTCAATTATCCAAGCTTGGTGTAGTGTACATGATATTTAGGATCTATTCTGTCCCAAAATAGTGCCATTGGCTTCACTCATAGTATTTAAAGATCCATCTTTGTCACGCCGAAGACCCTGGTTCGATTCCCAACATGGATACTTAGTGTGAAGCCCATTTTGGTGTCCCCCGACGTAATATTGCAGGATTTTTGCTAAAATCAGCGTAAAACCAACTACTACCAACTGGTCCAAGGTAGCAATGTCATTTGGAAAAAAAATCAGGTCCTGTCCTTTAATGAGTATGATGTGTTGCCTTTCAGTATTGTGTTTTGTGTGTTGACAGATTGAGGAGTACATGGACCAGCTGCCCAACCACAAAGTGCCGAGGATTGGGACGCCGGGGGAGAAGTACCGCGACATGCAGCTCATCCGCCAACTTCCCAAGCAGGACCTCTCCATCGACTACAACAAAAACATGCCTGAGGAGGTCGAGAAGAGGGAATTTCAGATTTTCCGAGATCTCCGCGATCAGGTTGCCATGGATATCGGCGTGGTGAAAGACTCACCTGTAGCAATTGTGAGTGGACAGATGCATCATGGTCTTGTGAAGGGGCAACTTGGGAGAGGCCAGAGCCTATGTGTGCACAGTTCTTAGACATACAACAATTGCAGGCTTAGAGATTACACTGGTCACTGCCCAGAGGAGTATGGTGGGCTTGGGGCTGCTTGGTTTTCAATAGTCATGGAGCACAGGATTAGACTATTAAAGAGAAACTTGCATCATAATGTAAGAGGCAAATCAGTAAACAAAAAATTAAATACTCCACGGAGGCTGCCCACATCCGCGAATACTAGTAATTAGAGTCAGGTCACAGCTACCAGGGGGATTGGGTCATCGAATTTTGATGCACTAATGTACTGAAAATAATTACCCTCCCCTAATGCTTGTTGTATTTTTTGGAGGAACAACATGCAAAATCATTATTTAAAGTTCATTATAAAATGCCCATGTTTCATGACCCTCCCCAAATATGTGTATTGTTTTTTATGACCATCCCCTTGAGTCTGTCATATGTTTTTGGTAACCTTTCCCTAATTCCATCGGACAACCACCCACCCCGCCCACCCCTATAATAAATGACCTTTCCATCACTTGTCCCTTTAAATTTTGTAAGGTTCTGTAAAGGCTTTCTGTCTTAGCGACAAGAAATTGATTGAGTTTGGTTTACTGTTAACCTAAATGGCGATTTGACGTGATTCTAGATAGTTATAGGTTTGGTCTAGATATGATATGTGTATATGAAATGTAAATATAAAGAACACATACAATGCAGAAAGTACACAATGTCACAAAATTTAGAAAATTTGAAAGCATTCCTAAATTGGTATTCTTCAGTGTCACTTACATGGGTTCAAAATATCATGCACTGGAAAATGAGACAAGCAACATGGTATTTTGAGCAACTGTTACATTATGTTTATTAATGAGATCTAAAAATAACCCAAAACACACCAAAAACCTCTACTTCAAAGCACAAATCAATGGTTCTTGCATTTTGTGGTTGTCCTCTGTTAAACACTTAAGAGTGATGAAGTGGAGAGATTTTATGAAGGCTTCAATAAGAGTAGACTCACGATCACACTAATTGTCTCCCTTTGTAGTCCTGTCGTACAGTGACATTCTCCAGTCCAGAGATAGGGACAGTGGATCACAAAGAGTATGAAATACACTGCAGGATTAGCAGGTCATAACAATACACAGATCACAGATTGTAATGGTGAAAGCATATATATGAACAAATTTTGTTTGGAGGGACATACAAGAGTAAGTGAGTTCGGTTTAACTCTATTTTGAACAGTATTCCATTTATATCACGGCGTGTCAGCTTGATGTGGGAGGAAAGCCTGAAGTGATGCAAGTAGCAGTCATTTACCACTTTGGTGAAACCTTGAAACATAGTAGGGGTTAAGGGGAATTCAAACCTGCGATCAGTCGTCTAAGGCGCCGCGATTCGCTGTGCAGAGTTGCGTCCCTTGGGCACGCCAGAAACCTATGATTGTGGGTTCGAATCCCGGTTCGCTCCGATTATGTTTCTAGGGTTGTCAGCACCATACCCGTGCTCGTGGGTTTCACCGAAGTGGTAAACGTCTAAGACCTGCATCACTTCGGGCTTTCCTCCCACATTAAGCTGACATGCCATGATATAACTGGAATACCGTTAAAAGCGGCGTTAAACCCAACTCACTCACTCATGATAATAAACTTAACCTTGTGTTTACGGTATTAGGAGACAGGGACTTTTCAAGCCACTGATGAAATCAATTAATTTCATTCAGAAATTGTGTATCTCTCAGGATGTTTTTTTTTCTGGGTCCAAACCATGCATTTGTGAGGACCAGATTTACATTTCTGTGTCATGAAAAAAATGTTAGTTTAAAAGATACTCAATTGGTTGGGTAGCCTCGTGGTTCAAGCATTTGCTCAAGCATTTGCTCATCACACAGAAGAACTGGCTGGCTACAATCACACACATCCCCACATGCCATGATATTGCTGGAAGCAGCGTAAAGCCGCGTAAAGCCGCGTAAAGCCGTGTAAAGCCAGACTCCCGCACTTACTGATGTATTTGACCCGTGAAGATCCAGGGTAGGATAGGTCTTCAGAAACCCATGCTTGCCATAAAAGGTAACTATGCTTGTTGTAAGAGGCGACAAACAGCATCGGGGGGTCAGTCTCACTGACTTGGTTGATGCATTTCATCGTATTGCTAGGGTCGATGCTCACGATGTCAATCACTGGATTGTCTAGTCCAGACTCGATTATTTACAGACCACTGGTTATAACAACAAACAAACAAACAACACCCTGATGTATTTACCCCATGTTCCAGAGTTGCTACTACTGCAAGGGGGAGATCGACGTAGCCGACCTGGTAGTGTGTGCGTCTAAAGCCGGAAATGATGTGTGTTGGCACCCGGCATGTTTTGTGTGTGAGGCTTGCGAGGAACTCCTGGTGGACATGACGTACTGCTACCACTCAAAACATATATACTGTGAGCGGCACTATGCAGAGACTATACGGCCTCGATGCCCTGCTTGTGATGAGGTGAGATTTACGCCGTATACGTTAAGTTTATTTGGTGTTGGAACAATGTAATAAAAATCATTTCTCAGTTTTTCTTACTGCTACCAATCTGAGGACATCCCATTAAAGTCAGGTAAAAAAACATTCGCAAAGTTTGATCGAACAATGAAATGACTAACATGACATCAATATTAGCCAGCAGGGCCCACTTGCACAAAGTGATCTTAGCGCTAAGATGATGATCATAACTCCCATACTTTAACATAGGCTTACGATAGTCTTAGCGCTAAGATCGCTTTGTGCAAGTGGACCCAGATGTCTCAAGCATTACGGCACTAGTTTCAGCTCGTATTACACTTTCCTAGGTTGCATGATTAGAATATACATTGGACTTTCACTTTTGCGATCTTGTAAGCAATGCTCCAATTGGTAAGATGAAAGGTCATCTTGACATGACCTTTAATGGGATGCACTCAGATCTTTGGGTGCAATGTGTGAAGCCCATTTCTGTTGTCCCCTGTCGTGATATTGCTGGAATATTGCTAGAATTGGCATAAAACCATACTCACTCACTCACTCATTCTGGAGGAAGAAGCCTGATTGGAGGGTGCAGAATAAAATATCTACACATCATAGCACAAAACTCTGCCATGAAAGATGTTATAAGTAATAAATAAGAATAAGATTTATGTGATATCACTTGCTTGATAATGGTGTTAGAACCTATAAAGAAACGTTGCTCCTAATTATAATAAAGAAGTTGTTCATCCATTAATCTTATCCTTAGTTAGTACTCCAGCTTCTAAATTCATCTCAAAGAAATTAAAGATGTTATTGTAGTACCTGAACGTCTGACACATAGCATAGGTGGATCAGGGATTTTACAAATGGGGTGTGAACATTTTCTGTGTCAGGAAGTGAACAAACATATGATTGGGGGACTGCCACAGGTTTTAACTATAGGTGTATGGAAAGAAAGGCTTGAACACCCACATCAGGATCAACCAGTGCCCCTCCGATGTGGATTGTTCTTCCTGCTATCAACCTCCGGTTTGACTGGCAGAGTTAAGATTAATTTCAGACCTAAGTACTACAGCTGCAGTATTGCTGACGGCAGTGTTACACATTTGGTGTAAAACTGCTGATAATGCAAATAATGTTGACTAACTCCACAAAAATTTACAATGACTTCTTGTTCTAAGTTTGATTTTATGGAATAACATGATAAATGCCTATTATTGGTCTCAACTGTGTTTTTGTCATGATCTTGTTAGAAATGACTTCATTTCATAAATCTGTTAAGTATTCATGTAAGCAATATATTCTATGTGTTTCCATATACTTTTAGTTTCACAGTCAGCTGTAAAAGAACCTTACACTTAAGATTTCTGTAAATCTTACTGATGTCCTGTGAATAATAAACAGATGACCTTCTATGCTGTATCTACTGTTTGCGGCCAAGAGTAGTAGTAGCCACCGCCGAGAGAGTGTTTGTCCAATGAATTTAGAATGGATTGTAAGCTGATTTAGTCAGGATGGTTCACAACAGGAAGGAATGTATTTAGAACGAACATATCCTCTTACAGCTTCATTGTCACCGCTAAGTCACAGTTTTATGGAGAAAATCATCCCTGTGGGAAGCAATGGGAAGATTGTTGTTTTCTGAGGATTAGAAACAGATTAGAGTTTGTGCATCAAGGGACACAACTTTTGAATTGTGCTGAGGGAGAAAAGTTATTTATGCCTACTAATGACATGTAATGAGATAGTCCGCAAAACAATTTCTGTCAATTGAAAGCATGTTTGTCTTTGATTTACCATTTTACCAAATATTTATCAAGAACAAGTACAAGCTGTTTTTGTACAGTTGCAAATTTATTCATTTTTCATAGACACCATCTAAGGCAGTATACTTTGTTAACAAATATTAAATGAACCACATTTTGAACACAAATTAAGTTTTGGTTTCAAGTTTAAAGGGGTGGTGTTTGTTATATAATCCTCAGTACATGACGCTCAGCTGTGAATATATCCTATCCGTGCCTCAATGTGGTTTTGGAATTGTTTTTCTATCATTTGATAAGCTCTAAACTATTTTTTGTTAAGACCTTGTAGAGTCTCAGTTTCACAATTTGACTAATGAGGATATGACTTATGGTTTAAAATCTCCATTGGAATTTTATATATTTAAAAGAAAATAGCAGGGTAGTTGTGTCAACAATATATAAATGCCAACCATACCTGATGAAAACTGATTGAACCACAAGTAAAATCACTGCATAGAAACTGCTTGCTGCTTTGTTCTGAGTCTCACAATACAGCAAAACATAGCCTTGTCCCAAGGCTGTATTGAATGAGGTCCATGGATAAATAGTAATTCTAGTCTTTGAAGGGCTTTTAGAAATGATATACATCAGGAAATGTTGTGTTCCTTATAATAAAGAAACTGACATCCATAAAATTCTCTTCCGAATAGTAATTCTGTTCTTATAATATTCAAGTCTAGATAAGTACTAAGGACTACAGTCTTTTATAGGGACAACTTGTTCTTATTATATGCATATAATCTAGGAATTATTATTTAAACATATAATCATTTCCTTAGAGACTTTTGCAAGTCTATGCAAAACATATCACTGAAGTTTACAGAATAGAGACTAATTCTGTGATAATTGATCTACATTTTTTAATTTGTGTCAATATTTTAGAATGGTTGATAACACATCAAGTTTGTGGCACAAGATTATACTTTCTATTAGTCATATCAGAGTGTGCAAACATTTCAGGTTATTGAGTGAGTTGACTTGCAGAAACTGTAACCAAATGAACACAAGCAGTTGTTATGCATATTAAAGATGGCATCAAGCACGCAGCAGCACTGTGTATCCAAACTATGCATGCCTCCAAGTGTTGAGATAAACATACGCTCGCACCAACTACTGTGGGGTGCTCACTCTGGGAGGTTTTGTGCTTATCTGGGGGAACTTTGTCCTCTGTTCGCTGATGCTGTAAGGGGGCTGCTGTTTCCTTTTTTTCCTCTGCCTCCCTCCCTTGGCAGCACTGAGTGTGTTTGGTTCTGATGGTTCTTAGAGACCCACCATCAGCTCAAGTGCGTGTACATATATGTCAGGTTGTCTCAGTGACTTCTCAGTATGAAGGACGGCCTCTGTGGTCTTGTTGATAGAGACCCACCATCAGCTCAAGTGCGTGTACATATATGTCAGGTTGTCTCAGTCACTTCTCAGTATGAAGGACGGACTCTGTGGTCTTGTTGATAGAGCCCCACCATCAGCTCAAGTGCGTGTACATATATGTCAGGTTGTCTCAGTGACTTCTCAGTATGAAGGACGGCCTCTGTGGTCTTGTTGATAGAGACCCACCATCAGCTCAAGTGCGTGTACATATATGTCAGGTTGTCTCAGTCACTTCTCAGTATGAAGGACGGACTCTGTGGTCTTGTTGATAGAGACCCACCATCAGCTCAAGTGCGTGTACATATATGTCAGGTTGTCTCAGTGACTTCTCAGTATGAAGGACGGACTCTGTGGTCTTGTTGATAGAGACCCACCATCAGCTCAAGTGCGTGTACATATATGTCAGGTTGTCTCAGTGACTTCTCAGTATGAAGGACGGCCTCTGTGGTCTTGTTGATAGAGACCCACCGTCAGCTCAAGTGCGTGTACATATATGTCAGGTTGTCTCAGTCACTTCTCAGTATGAAGGACGGCCTCTGTGGTCTTGTTGATAGCGACCCACCGTCAGCTCAAGTGCGTGTACATATATGTCAGGTTGTCTCAGTGACTTCTCAGTATGAAGGACGGCCTCTGTGGTCTTGTTGATAGAGACCCACCATCAGCTCAAGTGCGTGTACATATATGTCAGGTTGTCTCAGTCACTTCTCAGTATGAAGGACGGACTCTGTGGTCTTGTTGATAGCGACCCACCGTCAACTCAAGTGCGTGTACATATATGTCAGGTTGTCTCAGTGACTTCTCAGTATGAAGGACAGCCTCTGTGGTCTTGTTGATAGAGACCCACCATCAGCTCAAGTGCGTGTACATATATGTCAGGTTGTCTCAGTCACTTCTCAGTATGAAGGACGGCCTCTGTGGTCTTGTTGACAGAGACTCTACCCGAAGAACGGAAATTTGTGGTTTGATCCCCGGTCGTGTCACACCAAAAGACGTTTAAAGATAGTACTTGTTGTTTCCCTCCTTGGCGATCGGCATTTATGGAATAAAACAAGGATTGGTCCGCTCAGAGTTAGTATACTGTGTCTCAGTGGGGTATCCATGTTAAACTGCCTCCTGTCTTAGGGCTGCGAAGATCATAACTCCCATACTCTAACATACTTAAGATAGTCTTTGCACTAAGATCAGCCTGGTATCTCAGTGGGCTAGCACTATAAAACCAGCATTAGCGCATACATGGATGCAGTGATTGACATCATGAGCATTTGGGATACAATGACATGTTATCAAGCAAGTCAATGCGCATGGCCACCCAATGCATGAAGTCGTCTCTTGCAACAAGCATAGGTTGCTGGGGACCTATATGCTTACCCCAAATCACCACTGATCGCTTGATAAAGGTACGATCACCTGTGCCAAAGTCCCATGAAGTCTCCGAATTGGTCTTCAGCATCCCATGCTTGTTATATGAGGCGACTAATGGTACCGGGGGATCAGGCTCGCTGAATTAGTTGATGCATCGTATCCCAATTGCATAGATGGATGCTCATGATGTCAATCACTGGATTGTCTTGGCCGGATTCGATAATTTATATTATTGTTTAGCGCCACACTCGGCAATATTCCAGCTATATGATGGGCGGTCTGTAAATAATCGTGTCTGGATCAGACAATCTAGTGATTGATATCATGAGCATCAATCCACGCCATTGGGATCGATGACATGCATCAACCAAATCAGCAAGCCTGACCACCCGATCCCGTGAGTCGCCTCTTACGACAAGCATAGTCGCCTTTTACGGCAAGCATGGGTTGCTAAAGACCTATTCT